TTTGTCTTGATATTCTGCAGATGGAATACGATATGCCTAGGTGTAGATTTTTTGGTATTTAGTCTTCTTGGTGCTCTCTGAACTTCATGGATCTGTGGCTTGGTGTCTGTCATTAATTTTGAACATTCTTGGCCATTGTAACACCAAATATTCCTCTGTTCCGTCCTCTCTTCCCCTTCCAGTATTCCCATTACACGTTTGTTATTTCTTTTGTGATTGTCCCACAATTCTTGGATTTGTGTTCCCTTTTTTTTTCATTTTTTTTTCTCTTAGCTTTTCAGTTTGGGAAGTTTTTATTTACATATCTTCACGCTAACTGATTTCTTTCATCAGCTGTGTTCAGGCTACAGATGAGCCCATGAAAGGCATTGTTCATTTCTGTTGTATTGTTTTTGATTTCTAGTGTTTCCTTCTGATCCTTTCTTAGAGTTTCCGTTTCTCTGCTTACATATTTTTGCCTGTTGTCCATGTTTTCCATTAGAGCCCTTAGCATATTAATCATGTTGTTGTTGTTGTTAGTTGCCATCAAGTCGATTCTGACTCATGGTGACCTCATATGTTACAGAGTAGAACTTCTCCATAGGTTTTTCCTGGCCATAATCTTAATGGAAGCAGATCGCTAGGACTTTTCTTCTATAGTATTGCTGGGTGGATTCAAATCACCAATCTTTAGGCTAGTATTTGGGTACAAACCATTTGCACCACCTAAGGAACTTATATTAATCATAACCAACCAATCTTTTGCCTTCAAGTCAATTCCAACTCACAACAACTTTATGGGACATAGTAGAACTACCCCATAGGGTTTCCAAGGCTGTAATCTTTACAGAAGCAGACTGCCACAACTTTCTCCTGTGGAGTGGCTGGTGGGTTTGAACCACTGACCTTTTGGTTAGCAGCTGAGCACTTAACCACTGTGCTGCCAGGGATCCTGTATTAATCATAGCTCTTTTAAATTGACAATTCTAAAATCCCTGTCATATGTGAGTCTGGTTCTAGTGCTTGGTTTGTCTCTTCAGACTGTGTTTTTTTTACCTTTTAGCATACATTATAATTTTTTTTGTTGAAAGCTGGATATGATGTATCAGCCATAGGAACTGTTGTAGATAGCCATATAGTGTCAGGCTTTGTGTTTATCTGGCTAGGAATTAGGAATTTCTGTTTGTTCTAGCAAAATTTTCTCTAGCGCTCTTGTTTCTCTCTGCCCCCACCCCCGCTGTCTCCCTTGTTGTCTTTGTTTCCCTAAAGACTCCTTCATAAGTAGAGTCTAAGCCTTACAGTTCTTTTCAGCTGTAATCCCCTCTTACTATACAGAATCCCCTTTGATGTTGTGGTAAGTTTTAGTAGGAGGGAAAACATTCTATATTCCTATGATTAAGTCTCAGTCTTTTAGTGGGTCTGTGTCCCTGGGCTATGACCCTCACAAGTGCTTCTCAAGCTTTCCCTTCCCTGACATCAGAGGCTACAAGGGGCTGGAGTTGGGTAATTCCCTTCTCCCAAGTAGATTACCAAAAAAACCAAGCCCATTGTCAATGAGTTGATTCCTACTCGTGGAGAGCCCAAGTGTGTTAGAGTATAACTATGCTCTGTAGGATTTTTAATGGCTGTAATATTATGGAAGTAGATTGCCAGACCTTTTTTCTGCAGCACTGCTGGATGGATTTGAACCTACAGTGTTTCATTTAGTAGCTGAGTGCAAACAGTTTGCACTACCCAGGTATCTCCAAGTGGGTTAACCTGTTGCCGTCGAGTTGATTCTGACTCATAGTGACCCTGTAGGACAGACTAGAACTTCCCCATAGGATTTCCAAGGAGTGCCTGGTGGATTCAAAATGCCAACCTTTTGATTAGCAGCCATATTCTTAACTACTGTGCCACCAGGATTTCCCCACATAGGTTAGGCTCTGGTAAAATAGTTTCCCTTGAGGTCAAGACTTTGTTTATGAGAACAGAATGCTCTGGGTGTATTTGAAAATGGTTACTTTTTCCCTCCCCCCTGCTGAGAGCTTAAGGGGATTTATTTCAGATCTTCACTCTGAGAACCAGCTGGGGCTCCTGGAGGTAAAATTCACTAAATTGTGGGGGTCCCTTTAAGGCTGGGCCCAGGAGTTTTTATCTGTCTAGCTAGTCCGTGCTTTGTCTCCAGGAATTAGTCAATTACCCGTTGAGTATTCTACCGAGCTTCTGCTGTGGCTTCTGTTACTGGTAAACTCTTATCCTCTGTATTCACTTGCTTTTCCAGATTTTGGGCTAGTGATTTGCCCTATGACTTTAAATCTCTGATGGATCTAAGAAGAGTTGTTGACTTTCAGTTAGTTCAGTTTTTTCTTGTTGTGAGGATAAGAGTTGTTGCCCCATTAGTGTCCGTGTCCTGGAGCAGTCGAGCCAATGAATTGTACTCCAAGTCCGAAAGAGAGAAAAAGTTTATTAGGAGGTAACACCAACGGGGAGTCCGACAGCAATGCAGGCTATCTTTATGGAGTCCCAAAAGCAGTTTCTACATTGCAGTTTATATATCTTTTTGGCAAGAATTACCTAGTGTTTTCAAGCATGTAGCTCACGGATGGTCAGATGAGGATACATCACAAAACAATTATAAGAAACTCTTTATTAAACTAAAAGATATGCATGTCAGACACCTGGACTCTAATCTGTATGTTTGTAATGGGCAAAAAAAAAAAAAAAACATAAAAATCTCTCAGCTAGTGGAAATGGCCTGCCAAGTTTACTCTGACCGAGATAAAGAGCAAGAAAGAAAGCTGCAGACCAAAAGCGCCAGGCAGCCTTCCTAGTTGCCATGATGCGGCTGAAGGCCATTCCCCAAGAGAACAAAGAAAAGGAGGGAGACCAAGGCCACAAGAGCCAAGAAGGCCTTACACCCCTTTGGAACGAGACCAGTGCAACTGGTACAGTAAAAAAAAGAAAACTTATAGCTTACTTAGAGTATTAGTTATGTCAAGCTCTCAGTTGCCCATTTTGAAAAGGAGAAAACATGTTGCGAGGTATTAGGGTCACAAAGTGATGACTTCCAAGCTCTTGTTGCAAATTGGAAGTCCCTTACAGTAGCTTTTAATGGAGTTGGCTTGAATTTCTTATTCTTTACTACGTCTTAGAATTCCCAACTTAAGTGTACCCTCTAAAGTGCAGTTTCTTTAAATGGATGAAGCTGTGACTGGTGGGAGATGAGGGGCAGGAATGGACATTTCTTTCTCTTTTGTTTTTCTAGCATCCTTAATTTTCTTCTCTTATACATTCTTTCCTTTCACCGTCATGTACACAAGGTCCACCTCTTTTTTTCTGTCTCTTTTTGCCCAAGGAGCAGTTCTCTGAGGCAGCTACTTTTCACCCTTCTCACTTTCGAGTCCCTTCTCTATAGCTATTGCTGTAAACTACCAAGTCTCAGACTTGTGTTCAGAATTTTTGCCTTAGTGTTTGTTATGGTTTGAATTTTGTCCCTCAAAATATGTGTTGGAATCATAACCCTTATACCTGTGGATATAATCCCATTTGGGACTAGGGTTTTCTTTGTTCAGTTAATGAGGCCACATTAGTGTAGGGCATTTCCTAAACCTAATCACTTCTGAGTGATACAAAGAGCAGTATAGACACAGAGACAAGCAAGCATAAATGGGGGAAAGATAGATGCCACGTGGAGATTGCCAAGACACTGGGTAAAGTTGGGGCTACAGAAGCTGAAACAAGGTTTTTCCCCCAAAGTGGACACAGAGAGAGCTTTCTTCCCCTAGAGCTGGTGTCCTGAATTAGGACTTTTAGCCTCCAAAAATGTGAGAAAATAAATTTCTGTTTCTTAAAGCTACCCACTTGTGATATATCTGTTACAGTAGCACTAAGAAACTAAGACGGAATTGAGCTCTCTTTCTCGAGATGATTTTGTCTGTTTCCTTTGTTCTCTGCTCCTCTCTACTCTTCTCCATAGAGTCTCTCAAGGCTTCTTTTCCCTTGCTCTCTGTTCCCATAGGTTTGCAATGGTGACGGAAGCTCCGTTGACAACTCTTTCGGAATTTGTTTTGTATTCTCCATTTACAGGAAAGTTGAAGTTTGTGATATTCTCTCTCCCAGTAGAGCTAGAGGCATAGATCATGTTTTATTTGCACTCCTTATTGACTTTTTTTTTTTTTGAGGAGAGATTTGGATTCAAGGTGGCTCCCATAATAGGGCCAATTGGAATTCTCTCCTTATAAACTTTTTTTTAAAAAATAATATTTTATTGTGGTTTAGGTGAAAGTTTACACAGCAAATTAGGTTCCCTGTTAACAATTTTATTACAAATTGTTCCATGCCATTGGTTACAATTTTTACAGTGTGTCAGCATTCTCATTATTTCCATTCTGTTTGTTCTGTTTCCATTGGTCTATCTTCCCTTCCCTTCCTTGCCTTTTCATCTTTGCTTTTGGGCAAATGTTGACTGTTTGGTCTCACATAGTTAATTGTTTAAGGGAGTACATTGCTCACGGGTGACATTGTTTATTTTATAAGCCAGTCTATTATTTGGCTGAAAGGTGAACTGCAGAAATAGTTTCAATTCCAAGTTCAAAGGGTATCTTAGGGTGATAGTCTCGGGGGTTCCTCTAGTCTTTACTGGTCCAGTAGGTCTGGCCTTTTTTAGGAATTTGAGTTTTGTTTTACATTTTTCTCCCATTCTATCAGAAACTCTCCTTATAAACGTTTGAAGATATCCCACTATATGTTCAATCTCTTAACAATCTGAAGAACTTTGTTCATACTATTACGCACTTTTCTTTTCTCTCATGATTCCCTTTATGATTTTATATTTAATTGTATATATTTTTTGTTTTCTGTGCTAACTGATAAATTTATTGAGGGTAGGGATGATTTTTTAAGTCATATTACTACCCCACTGCCTAGAATAGTACTTGATATTTACTACATACTCATAAAATATTTGTTGAATTGAATTAACCTTTTATCTAGTTATGTTCTTCTTTTCCTTCTGAATTCTTAATTTATTTACATTGTAGGTGCTGAGAAAAACTCTTAAAGAGCCTGAGAATAAAGAACTGGAAGTAGCACCTGAGATGCCAACTTTGGTGCCATTTGGGGATGTGGTAAGAATGATCAGCACTCAAAAAACTTGTCCAAATTATTTTTTTATATGAAAAGTAGTTGATGTTTATTATTTGGTAATCAAAAAGAATGTGCAGAAAATGGTTCTCTTAGTAATATTTCATAAAATTTTCAGTTTTATGAAAAATGCATGTGATTGATAGTTCCTCACATTGCATAATTCAGTCACACTATTTCTCTTTGAAAGTTCTGTGACTTATTCTGAGAGATTATAAAAACATTATAATAATCACTGAAATTATGGAAAATATCCTGATTGATAGAAATAGTTTTCTATACTAAGGATTCCAAAACTCTAGTTATATCAGAATCACCTGAAACACTTTTTAAAAATATTGATTTCTTGGATTCCACCTAAGACCTGCTAAATTAGAACCTCTGGGTGTGGGGCCTGGGAATCAGTATTTTTACTGAGCTCTTTAAGTGATTGTATTCATTGTCAGATTTAGGAGACTTTGAGCTACAGTTTGAAAATTGATTCCCACCCCTCCACCCCATCAAAAAACAAACAAACAAACAAGCAGACACACTCATCACTCACATTCAAACACACACACAGAGAAATAGAATCTAATATCTAGGCTAAGTACCAGAAAAATCTGTTGTTCTATTTTGGGTGCTTCAGAGTACAGGACGTGATGGTCTATATACATTTAGAATTGTTAAATATTGTAGCATTCTTTTACAGTTATTTTTATTTTCTGAACGTTATTAGAATAGTTGATGAGTATAAAATAAGTTTCTCTTATTCTCTTCCTCTGTTTCCCATCATTTACTAATCTGTTTTCTTGATTGTAAAATTCATGATAAATTTAACATCAGCTTTGGGGGTGGGGTGGGGAGAGAAAGACTGTATTATGTACACATTTTTTGTTTTTACAAAATGACCACGGTGCACATTTATCCATATAATTATGTAAAACTTTCATCACTATATTACAATCAAAGAGTATAAGCCTTCACTGTCTGAATCTAAACTTAGAAAAAATTCTTTGGAATCATTTTTTGCCATAAGCTATTATGTATGGCATTATGTTAACATACTAATTTCTGTAACCCATACTCTTGAATATGATTTCCTCATCTCTTCAGAATTGACATTTTGAAGAATATTCTGATTTCAACTACATTTCCTGACTTGACAGTTTTCATTTTCCTTAACTGAATTACATATTACTAGATCTTAAACAGCTTCACTTAAAAATCGGCTGGAAATTTTTGAAAAACAGATGTTTGGGATGTGATTGATAGCTCCTCACAATACATGATTCAGTTACACCATCTCTCTTGGAAAGTTTTGTGATTTATTCTGAGGGATTTGCCTGAAGGGTACACATGTAGACAATAATAACTACATGACAACCTATTTCAATTTCTGATAGTCATGTTGCATTTTCAGAAAAAACGTGAAAAAGTTGCATCCTAAAATTGGGAACATGAAGTATTTCTGTGGTGAACAGCTTTCTGGTTGCTTCCTGTTTTAATTGCATGTTTGAGAGTGTTTGCGGGTGAAGGTGTTGACATGGGCGTTGCTTTGGGCCACGGAGGGAATCATCTCAATAACAAATAACAAACGTGAATAATAAATGTGGTAACATTTGTTATCTGCAATCTGTGAATGGTTATTATTATATTTTTGAGTGTTAAATCTTGTTCTATGTTGAATGGAAATCTATACTCTCTTCTAAAATATGTGAATCTATTATTTAAAAGTATAATAAATGGCTATTGAAATATAAGAAAAGTTAGGATAGTTGCCCATGGCTTCATGCTGAGACACTTGATAGGTGGGCCTGTAATTAGTAAATATTTATTTTAGACTGTTAACATATGGAATTATGTAACACAAAGTTGTAGAAGCATATGGCATGGAAGCTATACCTCCCTGTTTTACCCTCCTTATGTACTATTCAGTTTTAAGAAATAAACAATGATGGACGATACCATCTATGGCGATACAATTTCAAATCTTGTTTAGCTTAAGTAATATGCACTATCCCTTTTGAACTTGAAAAATTAGAGCCTTTCCTTTGACATAACTATTAATACCTCTAGTTCCCTTAGAAATAGACCACTATATTTTCTTCTTTAGGATTTCATCATTCATATACAGTAGTCTTTTAATTAAATATTGAATGTTAGTCTCCTTTTTGCATTTTCCACTAGCATTCTTTTAAAATGAATTCTCTGAAATTAGTTACATTACATTTAAAAATACTATTGGGCTATGTACTTTGTTTTACAATGCTTAATATAATATTGCTGCTATTTTTAATTTTCTTTTTTTGTGCAACCATCACCCTATTTATTTCCAAAACTTCTCACCCCAAACAGAAACCCTGTACCCATTAATCAATAATGCTCCATTCCCACTACCTCCCTTTTACTTTGTTTTTAGGATTAAGCATGGCTATATATTTGGTTAATACTGCATATTAGTATTTAATTGTTCCTGCATTCATTTTGTATTTGATTTTGTGATTAAACACAAGACACAATTTTCTTTAGCATTTAAAAACACCTCTTAACAAGAGAGAATGGATATTTCATAGCCTCTGGCATGTTATAGTTCAATAAATGTTGAATGAATAAAGTGGTTTTAGGATATTCGATAAAAGAGCTTATCTGAAACACTACATTTGATCAGTTCTCAAGCAATATAAAACAATTCAACTAGTGGTGGTCAAACTTAAATTAATAATGAACCATTCTTTTGCTTTGTATTCTTGTTAATTTTAGGTTTATCATTGTTGTTCTTGGGTGCCATCAAGTCACTTCTAACTCATAGCAACCCTACGTTCAACAGGCTTTTAGGTTTACTTTGAGCAAACCCTGTTTATTTTTCTTCTTGTAGTTCTGCTTTCTAATGCTTTGCATTAACTAGATATTTTTAATGAGAAGAAATATTTCTGATGAGAGAAAGCAACAAAAAAGTGCAATTTTATATTTTTAATGTAGTTCTGTATAGAATAAAATGGAAGATAAGTTAGCTTTCTTACATATTCACTACTTGTGTTTTTATTTTGATTGTTTTAGGTTGGCTGCCTGGCTATTCATATATACAACTGCAGACATTTTATGCCTAAGAGTATCCTTTCTTTTGATTTAAGAACCATAGCATGGTCATATATCACTATTTCAGTTACCTATTTCTGTATTACAAACCACTCCAAAACTTAGAGGCTTAAAATGTTATCCATTTTACTATCAATCATAATCTGTGCATTGACTTGGTGGTACTTCCGTTCCATGTTATCACAGCTAGGACTATAGTCATCTGGCAGTTCAACTAACTGGGTTGGAATATCTAAAAAGGCGTGTGTTTGGGGCTTTGGTGGGGTGCCTGGAAGGCTGGACTCAGCTGGGATGCTGGAACGGTTGGACCTTTCTCTCTTTCCATGTAGTCCCAGGGATTTTCATCATTTTTTGGGAGGGGAGGGGGGTTAATTTTTATTAGAAAACTACATAAAATATTATTTATCTTGATTACTTAAGTTTTTGACACCTCCTTAAATTTTACACTCTAGGTGTGTTCTCTTACACCATCCTAGTCCTGGTTCTGGTCACTTCCATTGCATTCTGTTGGTTAAAGTGGTTACAGGGCCAGCCCAGATTCAAGGGCAGGGGAAATAAACTCCACTTTTTGATGTGGGGAATGACAGAAGATTTTCAGCCATCTGTAATCCACCTCAATCACCATATAAGTTAAAGGAATGATATATAGCCTTTGGATGATAATGCTAATTTATTTATAAGTAATAATTGTGCTTCCTTTAGACATTTTTAAAAAGGATTTATTGTATATTGGTGCCTTTAAATAAACAGAATGTTTATTAGATTTTTTATGACATAAAACTAGTCTCATTATGGAAACTGGATGTTTTTCTTTTTTGTGTAAAGAGAATTATTAGAGAATATATAAAGAGAATTATATATTATATAATTATTATGTATAATT